TATTGCATTATCCCTCTCCTCTCTTTTTGATACTCTAATTACATGTATTTTAAGCCTTTCCCCGCTGTTTCTATTTCTCTTAACTTCTAATGTATATTTTCTATCTTTGTTTTTCCCCCAGATTTCATACTGAATATTGTCTTTTTACTTCTCTTCCAATTTACTAAATAACTACTTACAGGTTTCTGGCAAGAACTTTACCCTTTCCATAACTTATTCCTAACACCACAGCTCACCACCACCATTTGCCATATGACCAAAGGACTCCTCTTATTACCCTCAATCTGGGTTTACATCAGTCACCACGGAAGCCCAGGTATCTCAGAGCATTCTTTTAAAAAAAATGTTTTTATTGATTTTTTTTTTAGAGAGACAGGAAGGGAGAGAGAGGCACAGACATTGATGTGAGAAAGAAATATCCATTGGCTGCCTCTTGCATGCCCCCTACTGGGGATGGAGCCCACACCCGGGCATGTGCCCTGATTGGGAATTGAACGGGGACCTCCCAGTCCATGGGATGATGCTCCATCCACTAAGTCACACTGGCTGGGCTCTCAGAGATTCTTATTCCATAAAATCCTAACCTCATTTCTTTGGGCAGTGAGGCAACTTTCCCACCATCCCCTCTATTTTATATATTGGATTAAGTTCTCTGTTGCGTTCCATAACATGCAAGCTCCATGAAGGAAACAATTTCTGGATGTTCAATTCAATATTGTATCCCCATTGTGTGAGCAGTACCAGGCATACAGATGGAAACACTCAATAAATATGTTAAATGAATAAGTAGTGTGCCACTTCTCTTTCATAAAAAAACGTGAAATTTTATTAAAACACTAAATAGAAACTTCATTTTTTTTAAAAACAACAATAACAACAATAGGTTGCATGGGAGAGCACAACGACTACAAAATATATTTTTAAATAAAGATAGTCAATTAGAGTTTGAAAGCTGAGAAGGAAATCAATTAACTGGGTATTTTTATTATCTTCTCCCAAACTGATGAGTCTACCAGATTCTGGGTTCAGAAACAATCTTCCACAGTCCAATTTCATTCCTGATTCGCTGACACAGTGGTATATTGTTGCTACTACTGAAATCTATGCATTTGGGACAGAAATGAGTCAAGAAGCTTTTTAAATTTGGGTGAATCTGATGCTTGGTACATTAAGGTGCTTCACTGATCATTTGTAGCAGCAGTAATTCAGGGCTACCTAAGGCCAAAATTCATCTGAGACCCAAGTTACATCATTGAGGTTTATGGAATTAGGTTTTAAAACCTGCCAAATGCCTTGCTCCCTCTTACTAAACCCGTTTTCTCTCTTCAGCCTGAGGGCTAACAGGGGGAGAGGGTGGGGCGAGATAGGAAAGTTGTGCTAAACCAAGTGTTGGTAAGTAAAAGTCATCCTTTTATCTTCCTCCTTCCTTCCTCTCTTCTGTAAGAAAATACAGGGGTGGGCAAAAGTAGGTTTACAGTTGTTCATATGGAGTATAATACAACAATTAATAAATAGTAGTAATACAAGAATAAACTCTGTGTTTCACTTACTCACATTTATAAACCTACTTTTGTCCACCCCTGTATTTTGAGGTGGCCGCATATCTCCTCGGAGGGAATCTTTAAATTTATACATATTGCTAAGAGCGGTGAGAACGAATTCCTGGGTACGACATACTCAAGAGACCTGCCATTCAAATACTTTCAGTCATCATCTCTATATTTTTTCACTTGTGCTCTAAAGGACCCTGGTATGTCTCTTTCTACCTAGACTGCTAAACTGTTGTAGAATAACATTTAAATATTTATTTATCACAGGAACTCACTACACCACCCCCTCACCTCAGTTCATTTCCTTAATCAAATATTTTAAAATGTAAAACTATATGCCCATTGTACGGAGTGAGGAATTATAAAGAATTAAGTTTCTCTGTATTTTTCCCCTGCATGCCTGCTTCTCCTAAAGAAATCAGTATTATCAGTGTGATCATTATATGCCACTTCTTATTATCCTCATTTAAGTGTAAATAAAAATATAAGCTCCCTGCCTCCACCAGTATTTCTTAGAAAAACAGAATCATATCTTACACATCACTTTTCACCTTGATTCAATGGGATGGCCATAACTTCAGATTAGCCAAACCAGTGATATGAGTCATAATGCTTGGAATAATGATTACCTATAATAACTTTAATTCAAAGTTATAATTAAAATTACACTGTAATTTGCCAATGTGGACCTAACAGTTTTTAAAAAAGAGTAGGTGCTCACAGTATTTGTTGCACTGAAGAGCAAATAAAAGCACAGAGACAGTTTACTGTTATATATTTTTTCAGTATATTTGATATTTCAGAAATAAAGTAAAATGAAATGAAAGAGCCAAGAATGGGCTATGAGAATATGGTGTTTTTAAAATTTACAACTTCTAGGAATGTGAGATTTTATAATTATATAACATATGAATTGTTACATGAGATTACTTCAATAAAAAAAATAAAATGCTAAGTGATAATAGGGTACATTAGTAAGATTGGGGCTAAATTTTTGTGAACCTTATCTTTTTATAATGCAATGGCTTTGCCAACAATTAATTTGAAATACTGGTTTTCCATAAAGCTGTTTGAAAAATCTAAAGTAACTACTATATAAAAAAGAAAAAGCTTCTGAATAGTTAAAAGTAAAACTCTTGATTCTTCTGTAAAGGTTATGCATTTTAATACGATCTTTTGGCTGATTTATGTAAAGCTTTGTATTTTTCATTTTCTCAAGCCTGTCACTGTAGTGATGTATGGTATATTTTAGCATCAAGTTTGCCATGAGCAATAAAGTCAGGGCCCCCAAAGAAATTTTAATATATTTCTCCATTTTTAACCTGGAGCTTACCATTTTTTCAGTTATTTTGTTGGGATCCCATGTTTAGTTGATATATTTGAAACATTCACATAAATAATTTAAGATTTTTAACTTAAGAAAAAATTTAAATAGAGTAATTATTCAGTAGAAAAGTTTAAGGGTTATCATATATAAAGTGAAAATCTTAGTGATAATTTAAATTTACATTAAATACTCCTCTAAAAGTTGTATTTTACATTTCAGTGTGCTCAGGTCATTTTTCTCTAACAAGATATAAAAAAAAATAAAGAAAATAATGACTCTTGTTAAATGGTATGCAAAATAAAATGGAAGCACATGTTTTTAAAATTCTGTAAGAAGAAAAAAATGAAGTATGAAAATAATGATCAGTTAAATTAAAAAGTTTGGTGCTAGAACTGCTAGATATCCACATATTTAAAAATAGAATCTAGACATAGTCCTTATGTCCCTTTACAAAAATTAACTCAAAATGAACCTTATGTAAAGTACAAAACTATAAAATACCTAGAAAATAACATAAGACAAAATTTAGATGACCTTGGGTTTGGTGATGACATTGTAGATATAACATCAAAGCCAGAATCCATGAAATAAATAATTGATAAGATGGACATTATTAAAATGAAAACCTTCTCTGTGAAAACACTGTCAGGAAAAGGAGAAGACAAGCCATAGGCTGGAGAACATACTTGTAAAATATAATGTTAATACAACACTACTGTCTGAAATATGAAAAGGACTCTTATATTTCAATTAAAAAACAAAGAGTCAATTAAAAAATGGGCAAATGATCTGAACATACACCTCACTGGAGAAGATATAGAAATGGCAAACAAGCACATGGATAGGTGCTCCACATCAGTGTCACCAGGGAACTGCACATTAAAACAACAATGAGATATCACTGCACACCTAGGAAAATGGCAAAACAAAATAATGACAGCATCAAATATGGAGAGGATATAGAGCAACAGAAGGTTCCCACTCATTTCTGGTAAAAGGCAAAATGGTTCAGCCACTTTGGAAGACAGGTGGTGGTTTTTTGTAAAACTAAACATTCTAACCATATAATCCAACAATTGTGTTCCTTCGTATTTACTCCAAAGAGTTAATAAAACTTATGTCCACACAAAAACTTGCACCTGAATGTTTTGTAGCAGCTTTATTCATAATTGCAAAATCCTGGAAGCAACCAAGATGTCCTTCAGTAGGTGAATGAACAAACTGCGGTATATCCAGACAATGGATTATTATTCAGCACTTAAAAAACTCATGAAAAGACATGGAGGAACCTTAAATGCACATTACTAAAAGAAAGAAGCCAATCTAAAATGCCAATATATATTATCCCAACTACATGACATTCTGGAAAAAGCAAAACTATAAAGGCGGTAAAAAGATCAACGATTGCCAGAAGCTGGGGCAGGGGTGAGCAATCAACAGGTGGAGCACGGAAGGTTTTTGGGGCAGTGCAAATGAAAGTACATAGCGATGGGTATATGTCATTACGCATCTGCGTGCAACCAGCATCCAAGAGTGAATCATAATGTAAACTATGAACTTTGGGTGATTATGATATATTAATACAGGTTTATCAATTATAACAAAAATACCACTCTGGTGGGGGATGTTGATCATGGGGATACTATGTTTGTGTGGGGGCAGGGTGTATATGGGAACTGTACTTTCTGCCCAATTTTGCTGTGAACCAAAATGGCTCTAAAAAAGAAAGTCTATTTTTTTAAAATTAATTAATTAATTAATTATTTTATTTCCTCACCCGAGGACATTTTTCCATTTTTTGTTCAGATAGAGTGGGAGGGGGATAGAGAGAGACAGAGAGACATCGACATGAAAGGGACACATCGAGTGGTTGCCACCTGCACGACCCAACCAGGGCTGGGGAAAAACTGCAACTGAGGCACGTGCCCTTAGCGGGAACCGAACCCAGGTCTCTCCGAACCGCAGGCTGACACTCCAACTGCTGAGCCAAACTGGCCAGGGCAAGAAAGTCTTTTTTTTTAAAAGTAACCTAAAATCAGCACAGGTCATACTGAAAAATTGCTTTTAAAAAATTAGTTATAAAATAACCAGTAAGAATTAATGATAGTCTTCCTGATGGTGCAGTAATATTGAAACAATGAATATACTATAAACAAAAATCATACAGCACTTTGGTGATACCCAATAGAATCAACTTGATTGGCTAAGTGATTGCCTTTTCATCCTCATTTCCAAATGCTTCTTGTGCACCATGATACTATTGGCAGACATAAGAGCAGTAAAGAGACAAAAAGGAAAATAAGCCAGTGTGACAAAAGCAAAATATGTCACAGAAGTGAGGGCTGTATATGAAGCAAAACTAAGAAAAAAAAGGCACATATCCTATAGAGTATAGAGGACATGAATAGGATGTGTCAATAAAAGTCAGAGTAAATCCCGAGTAACTTGACAATGTAATGAACATGGCATTCACATTCCCCCAATTAATCAATGGTTCCATTAACATTTTTCTGATGACAAAGAGGTTGTGAGAAAAAGCTGGACATAATAATTGAGAAAATACTATGTAATTTTTTCATGTAAAAATGGCAGCTCAGTAAACATTGTTCAAAAATGCTTTTTAAGAATTGTGTATGTAATTAGACGTTCTGTAGTTGTCAGGAACTGGGGACACCTAAAAGAAAAAAGGGAAATGCACCATATTTATTCAGTGTCAGTAAAGATCCACGTTAAAGAAGTAACATTTTTTTCTGCAAGTGGGAAAATCGGACTATGAAAACCAATGAAGTACCAAAACAAAGTGAATAATTAGCTGCTGAGGTAGAGAAGAACATATAACGGCTACCATGTCTAAGCAAGGATTCAGTGGGTTTGATTTTCTGTGTAAGCACAGGGCAGCAAAAGCAGCAGAGACTCAAAACAAGAGGTTCCTTTCAGTGGGTCTGAAGGACATTTGGATAATACAGCTTCCTTCTCTTGAGCGTTACCAGCTTTTTGGTAAGAGGTTACCAATAGTCATTTTCTGGCTCAATTCAATATCTATTTCCAATTCTGTTTATCCTAATTTTTATGGAGAAATAACACCAATCATTTTTCTCTAGTTTTGGAAAATCTCTCATGCTGAGAATTCTGGGGTTACCATTTTTTTCCGTTTCTTTGCCAATCCCCATTAAGCCTCTTGATTCTTCAGATTCCCTATCAGATAGATAATTGTGGGCATGTCTCAGGACTTGGTGATAGAATGTTAAAGATGCAGAAGACTTTCCCAATCCTTTACATCTCAAGGAGCGAAGCTTTCAATCAAATGGTCTACTCTAGGTCTTTACCTATTCTACAATACATCTTTAAACTGACATTCTGCTGTATCTTGATAATCAGTGTATTTAAATAAAACTCTTGCCCTGGTCAGTGTGGCTCAGTTAGTTGGAGAGTCATCCTGTGCACCAAAATGTGGCAGGTCTGATTCCCAGTCAGGGCACGTACCCAGTTTTTGGGTTCGACACCCCCACCCCACTGGTACATGTGTAGTCGGGGCATGTGTGGGAGGCAACCGATTGATGTTTCTGCCTCACTTTCCATCTTTTACTTGAACTTCTGTTCCCTTTGATGCTTTTGGAAAGCTTTTATTTCTGCTTTGCTTCTCTCTTAAACTTTGCAAGACAAAAATCCAATTCATCCTCAAACCTTTCCCCTAAGGCTTATGCACTACTACCTAATTCTTATTTTACTAGATAATTTAAAATTTGGTTATATACTGTCTTACCTTCTCCTTGATATATATATATATATATATATATATATATACACACACACACACACATATATATACACACACACACACACATATATATACACACACACACACACACATTATTCCCTTTTCAAATGAACTACAAACTCTTCAGAAATGTAATATCTTTTGTATCATATAGAGCTCTTAAAATGATAAACATTTACAAAATTCTTAGTTCTTGACAGAGGATCTAAAAAAAAATCACTAATGATAAAATAATTTTTACCCTTTCATCTGTTGTTATAGTATATTATATATACAGAGCCAATGCACACATCTCAACTGTCTCTTGAAATCACTGGGAATCTCAGGTGTACTTGCCTTGTCCTCCAGGTGCAATTCTAAGAAGCGTAGGTAAGCCACAGGTGCAAAGGCATCAGCTGAATGTATGACTACTTCTGATGAATCTCTGAAATACAAACATTTTATTTATTTATTTATTTATTATCCTTACCCGAGGACATTCTTCCATCTTTTATTCATATAGAGTGGGAGGGAGGGAGGGAGGGAGGGAGAGAGAGAGAGAGAGAGAAACATCAACATGAAAGGGACATATTGAGTGGCTGCCACCCACCCGACCCAACCAGGGCCGAGGAAAACTGCAACTGAGATACGTGCCCTTAGCGGGAACCGAACCCGGGTCTCTCTGGACCGCAGGTCGACGCTCTAACCGCTGAGCCAAACCGGCCAGGGCTGAAATACAAACATTTTATAATGCACTTATTTACTATATAAATTGTGTCAAATCAGTCCTGTTAGTGACTAGAAGAGACTCCCCCAAATCCTCATTTTGTATTTATTTCCACTAGTATACAATATTTAGTAATTAACATTTATTTTTAGTAATCCAATATTTAATTGACAAAATAATCAAGAATACTAAACTTTCAAAAAGATAAAAAAGCTTTTCATCTTTATGAGAACACAGTTCAACTTTCAGGTTCATTCAATGGTCTCTGAACAATTTTGAGACTTAAAACTCCTATTCAATTTCATTTTCAAAAATTTCCTTGGTATGGGCTAACCATTAAACAATAGTGCTTTATCTTCATTATTCTTTTCATTTTCAAGAGGTAATTCATTCAGTGTTTCACACACAATCTCAATTATCCTTCACAAAAGCAGTACTGGTGATGGTTTTAAGCTCTAGATGAACTCTTCACACTGCAATATCATTGCTATTAAAATTGATTGCCTGACATAGTAATTACCACATGCAGGTAAAATGGTATGAACTGCTTGCTGGCACCATATGGATACATGTAAATTAACTCAACTTTTATCAGAGATACCCTGTAAAGCACATATGAATAACTAAGATTATGCATGAAGTTCTAATAACTAATTATTTTTTATTGTTATTTATTAAGAGAAAGCACTAGTGTTTTACATTTCAGCTAAAATTTAAAAATAGAAATTCCTCACATTTCTTAAATGCCTCAGGAACTGGTGCAACTGTTTTATTAACACATTGTTAGCATTTTACCCATTGTAGAACTGCTAAAAAAAGTGACTTAAATATTTGACTCTGACATTAATGCAAGATATTTTTTGAATCAACTTGTGAAATGCAAAGTTGTTTAGTGGCAATGGAAGAAACCTCAAAATATTTGGCTCCAAAATACTAAATTTTCATGGGCAAAATCTGTTTACTTTCCCCTTGAAAAATCAGAGATAGAGAAAAATGTTTTACGGTAATAAAAAAGTCAACTACTATTCATGAACCTTTAGTATCAAATATGAATCTTGTTAGTGCTTAGGAAAATACAAATAAAAAGGGCTTCTGTGACATTAAAAAGAAACATAATATAATATAAATAGAATCATTAAGGAGTCAGAATACCAATAGAAAGATATAACCTGCCTTCACAGGCTACATCAACCAAAAGATGCCTCCAGGTACAGTGTGCAGGAGGAGAAAAAGAAAGTAAAGGGAGGGCCTCTTCCTTTCTACCACCTGGCTTGACCTCTTGGTTTGTTAGCCCTAGTCTTGCTGTTTCTCCATTTACTCAGGACTTTCCTGTCCTGGTCCTGTCGTTTGGCTCATCAATCAGATTCAGATTCTGACTCCTGTGTACAATCTCGCTCTCAGCAATTTCTGTTCCTGATCCCAGGCTTAGAAACGGACCCTGAGCCTTAATTATGCCTAATCTAGGCAGCTTGGTTTTGATACCCTTGACAGTGGAGTGCACCCAAATTATCATGAACCCAACCAATGCTATGTCAGGATAGAGGGTTCCAGGCCTTTCCCACTCATGCCAGTTATCCCCACTAGAAACAGAAGGATGATAGCCAACAGATCACATAATTGATGTAACTACTCCATTCTGAATCACGATTGTTATCCACAGAAAATATATAATATTCTGATCACTAAACAAAGAGAAAAAGGATTTTTATGTATTCTAAAAAATCTATAATCTCTAACTGACCAACATCATTTCACTGACATATATAAAGCCAGAGTCAACGGGAAAGACGAACTCTCAAAGGAACAGGTTTAGTTTCAAACAGAGTAATACCACTAGTGTTCTTTTCTCTTTCAGAAACTAGCACGTGAGACTCAACTGCCCAGGATCTCTGGTTTCTGTCTGCTTCACGGATTTCTCTGAAATTTAGAGCAGAATCTGCCAGAATATCCTCAGAGTAACCCAGAAAATTAATAGCATTTATGCCACAATAAAAATGTTTACGAGGGCTACCCTCCTCCCCTTTCCCTATTAATACAAGTAACAAGTGTGGTCAATACTTCTTCTACAACCAAGGCTTCTCTGTGGCCAAGAGCTGGTCTGTGTTCCCTTTCACTGACTGTGAGGCCTACCTCTGGCTACAGCTTTGAAAGGGCAGCTAGGCAGGCCCCAGCCTTTGTCCTCTGACACCATGCTCCCCAGGTGTGCCGCCAGGCTCTACCCCCTCACTTCAAAACACACACACACACATACACAGATATGATCTCTTGAGACTCAGCCATGGTCTTGATTCCTATCTCTCCTCTAAAAAGTCAGCTGCACACAGATACTCCCTGTGGACTCACACCCTCAGACATCTCCAGTGTCATTTCTGTGAAGCCTCCCCTGGCATCCTCAGTCAGTGCACGTTTTCCTTTTGTGTGTGTTTTGGTAATACATTTATAACCCTTTCACAACACACCCACTACATTACAACCATAGCCTTGTGCATTTGTCTCCCGTAGAGAGGGATGAAGTTTTGTTCACCTTTGTCTGCCTGCCCCTCACATCTCTTCCACCAGCTCAGTACAGAGTATGTTGCCTGGTATTCATTAGACATTTATTAAATAAACAAATACATGTATAGTTAAACTTTGTTAAGTATCTTCATGTTTATATACTGTCTATTGAAATTATCACAAACCCACAATGGTTTTTCAATTACTTAGCCTCACATAAATATATACTTTTTCCTACATGCACACTCCATGTATCACATGAACATGTATATAGCCACACATGCATTCCGTAACACAACATAGTATCTCTAACATAATACAAATAAAGCTTCATAGGTCTAAAAACTTAAAGTGCAATTAATATTTTTAAAATATTGTAGGAAAGACTGGTATAAGTCTTTGGAAGTAATTTTTTAAAATTCTAACTGGAGCCCGGCTGGTGTGGCTCAGTGGTTGAGCATTGACCCATGCACCAAGAGGTCACTGGTTCAATTCCCGGTCAGGGCACATGCCCAGGTTGTGGGCCTGATCCCCAGTTGGGGCATGCTGGAGGTGGCCAATCCTTGTTCTTCTCTCTCATCGATGTTTCTATCTCTCTTTCCCTCTCCCTTCCTCTCTCTCTAAAATCAATAAAGAAAAAACTGGAATATTTACTATAAACTTTTCATGTCAATTAATAGGTGAGTAATCAGGTGAACTGAACAGTTCGTTTTGGCATTGGAGGGGTCTAATAGACCTGTCCTGACATCTCTCTTTAATAGCATGACTAATTCCCCTCATCCTATTGTGTCAGTCAGGCTTAGGTTTCCTTGTTTACAAAAGGAGGAGGTGAAAAAGATTAATTTTTCAGGTCTAAATAGGCCTTCCGGTAATGTAGTATTAAGGAGCACATGGCTCAACCCAGCCAGTGTGGCTCAGTGGTTGAGCGTCGTCGACCCACGCACCAAGAGGTTGCCGGTTTGATTCCCGGTCAGGGCACATGCCCAGGTTGTGGGCCCTATCCCCAGTGGGGGGCATACAGGAGGTGGCCAATCGATGTTTCTATCTCTCTCTCCTTCTCCTTTCCTCTCTCTCTAAAAATCAATAAAGAAAAAAAATTACAAAAAAAAGAAAGCACATGGCTCATAATTCTAGGTTGACCGTAAAGTCTTCTGGGTGCTCTAGGACCTCAATTTGTCAAGTAAATGGGAAAAGCATTATTCTTTGGCACTTTTTCTTCTATCATGTTTTTTTGCTTTACTAATTTGGTCCCATATTAATAAGTAAATATACTGCAAGTTTCCAATTATACTATAATTTCACCCTACTATGCAAATTACTTTCTTGAATAACCAGAGTATTATTTCATAGAAATAAGACTTAATGCACAGTTCATTCATGAGTTGTTTTTAATCATCATAGCCTGAGAAATATCTTTCATTTACGAACTTACTCTTAAGACTCTTACCCTTTACCATCTTGTATCATAACATATGCAGAAGTGCCTTCCTCCCACCCTTTCAAGGAAGGAACTATTTGCACATCAATGGTGCTCAGAAGAAAGCTTTGGACATAATAACTACTTGATAAATATTTGCCAAGTAAATTATTATTATGTTGATGATTACTAATGCAAAAAAGTTAGGAGGACAAGAAAGAAGCAAGAGTGAGTAAATATTGCATATGGTAATACAAATGTTTTGGCCACATTTCACAAGATATGTGTATTTTTTGGAAACTCCACCTAAAGTTGTCATAATTTTCTTAGATCACACCTTCCCTCATTATGTACAAAGAAGTCCCCTCTTTGTGTCAAAAACACGAAAGCTGTCTGTTCCATACAGAATTCCAATCTTGTATCAGATGAGGTTTCTGAAATCAAGCATAATTCTGACATTTTTTTCCAAGAAGCACAGGAGCTTAGAAAAAGCAGATAAAGTGCTCTCTTAGCATATGAGAAGAACAACATAAATTAGAGCATGGATAATAATGTAACAAACTGGAGAAAGTTCCTGTTTTTCGTTACACCAATTTTAACAATTTATGGCAAAGAAATCACACTACTCACCATAAACCAAATTCACTTAAAAACAAAGTTTATTTGTAAAAATAACCCCAAATAATTGAAGAGAGATGTTTTGTGTTACCATTCTATGTAGTTAAAGCTAAGCAAAAGGAAAAAGAGGATGGAGTTAATGGAACCCACAGGCTACCGATGTGGCAGTTTATCAAATGTAGCTGTAATGAAAGATAAATAATACAGGCAATTCACACTTCATGAAAGGATAAAAGTGTCAGTGTGTAGGAACCAGTTTTACTGCGGGCCATAATCAGCAAGTAAACGAAAGTGCGGTGTCTAAAAAGTTTATAGCCTTCTATGAAGGCCTCGTCTTGTCAGGTATTGATTTAGGTATTCAGACGACTTCACTGGTATTAAACAAATTGAGTGTTTGTGAACTTAGAGGACATGTTCTATTTCTCCCAACAAAAGTTGCCTCTAGCTTAATGTTAAGTTGCTCCCATCACTTAAATTTAAGGAAAGGGAAGAAAATGCTGAAATGATATCTTACACAATTATTTTCTTCTTAAATAGAGGGCAATCCAAAGTGAACGTCTCATACTCTCCACCTTCTCCACAAACATGGACTCCGTATTTCTTAGAAAGCTAAAAATAAAAATAAGAAAAAGATGCAGTATACTTAAAATTAGATAGCGATAAGACTCAATTAACATATTACTTTGTCCTAAAAAATAACCATGTAAGAAACTTTAATTACAGAATAGATATAAACGCTACAGGAAAATAACTTTATATTTCTGCTTCAAACATGTATTTAAAGCCATTTGAAAAATGTTATGATGAAGCATGAGTTTTTTTAATAATCTCCAAATCCTTATAAAAGGTGTAAGCAACCGACATTTTTATGTCTAATGAGGAAACTTAAAGGATCCTATGAATTTTAGGACTGTACTAGCTTTAGATTGGAAGGGAGGCTCAGAAAGACAGGGACTAAGTCATTATGTAGTAAATGAGAATATATGCGGCCAACCTGTGCTTCTCCCCGCCCTGTGACCTATATATAGAAGGGAAGAAAAGAAGTGCTTAGAGCATTTTTCAGAGATAGGCACAGAAAGCAATCCAACAGTTTTTCCTTAGGCCTGTGAACAAAAGAAGTCACACACATGGTTATTATGCTTACGGTGATTATTAGTAGTCAAGTTCCAAGGGTACTGAGAACTAGGAAGTTCCAAAGCTGACCTCAAGCCTTAGCAACTAACTCCAAGAATGACTGGGATAGCTTATAATGCCATCTAATTAAACATGAGATTAAAAACACAAACAAGCAAAAGACAAAAACCCTGTGATTTTTTTTTTTTATAATTTCTTTTCCTTTATTGATTTTAGAGAGAGAGGGAGAGAGAGATAGAAACATCGATGAGAGAGAACATTGACTGCTGCCTCCTGCATGCCCCCCACTGGGGATTGGGCCCACAATCTAGGCATGTGCTCTGACTGGGAATTGAACCAGTGACCTCCTGGTACATGGGCTGGTGCTCATCCACGGAGCCACACCAGCCAGACAAAACCCTGTGATTTGTATTAAATGTAAGCTATATTATGTAAATGGTCCTGCCACGGACAGAGAGAGTCTCTTACTTGGCGGGTCCATGGCTGGCATCAGCGCTGGGAGCATGCTCATTAGCTGTCGGAATCTTGCTGCTCCTGTGCTGGGGCTTTATCACCACGATTCCATCTCCTTCATTCTGAGTTTCAGAGCTTTCCCTGCTTACAGCCGCTCCTAGCCCCAAGTCCTCATAGCCCAAAGCAACAGTGACTCCCTTCATGTTCTCTGTTGCCAGTGCCGGGACTGTGGTCCAAGTCTTCAGTTTTACCTGCACACTTATGCATTTATTTATTTGGTTATTTTTGTGGTTGTGCTACAATTCTGAATCCATTACATTTCAACTACTGACTGTGTGCCTTTAGGGACTTAAAGCATGGATCTATAAGAATTCTACTGTTCCCTCCAAGGATCAGTAGTAACGTGAATGACACTGTAAAGCCACACAGCAAGAAAAGTGAGGGAAAGAAAACTTCTATAAAAGAGCTCACAAGAGCAAAGCAGATAAATTTTCACCATGTTGGGTTATGAAGTAGAGAATCAGCAAGGCAGAACTATGGCAGTTGGTTCTTATAGGAGCAGATAACAGGAACATTAGTTTTCCATGTAACTATTGTTAAGATAAACTTGTTAAAAAACATTTGAACAGATATAAATGACCTGGGTCATTTCATGGCTTATCAGAATGTCTGGGACTCTGAGCATGTAAAAAGTAAATTCTTAGTAAATAAAAAGAAAATTACTTATGTATTCTATTTTTTTCTGACACACTTATTTATATAAATATTCCTATTCATAATAACTCCATTTGAATGCTACAGATTATTGAATTGAAAAGGTTTAAGGGTATCATGATTTCCTTGTCTAATTTTTGATTCCTTTAAAAAATTGTAATAACCATAACTGTGAGAATGTTTAATTAAATCAAGGGTTTCCTTCTTTTAAACCAGACTCATTTATCTGTTAGTCATCTTAAAATTGAAAAAAAAAGGGCAGATGAATTTGCACTTTACCCTCATCCTGCCTCCTACCACCTAGAGAAAACTATGAGGTTTATAAAATCTGCCACAATTTTATTGTATAAGTGATATGCTTAACAAACAAAATAATTCCATGCTGCATATATTCATTTATAACACTTATTCATGAGGTACTTACTGAATATCTACTTTAGGTCTGGCATTATTTTAAGTGCTGGGGATAACAATGGGAGCAGACATAAATTACAAACAGCTTACTGTCCGGAGGTAGAGAAAGAACGTTAAACAAGCAATTGCAATAGAGGGCAGTGGCGGCTTTGATGGATGCACTGGATGCTGTGGAGCGTAAAGCAGGAGACTCAGCTAGAAGGAACTCAATAGGCTTCTCAAAGGAAGTACAACTTACGTTGAGATATGAAGGACGAGGAACTAGGAAAGGCTAGAGAGAGCGATGGAGGGAGAGAGGGAAAGGAAGAGAAGACAATAGAGAAGGAAAAACTGTTCCAGAAGGAACAGCGTATGTTAAGACCCAGAGCATACGGCGGGTGTTAGAAATGGAAACATTTGGCATAGCTGGAGCATAACGAGAAGAGTAGTAGAGAGATGAGGCTGAAAAACTAGAGAGAGGACAGATCTTATGGGGCTTCATAAGTCATACTAAGTCATTACCCTAATGTCACTGAGAACCTATGGGTAGGTTTTAAACAAAAAACTGACCTGATTTCATTTTTCTTTTAGACACATTCTGTCTACACAATGGAGAATGGGCTGGCGGGGGAATACGTCAAGAAACAGAAAGAACTGAGAAGTTGCTGGAGGAATCTAGGCAGAAGGTGAAGATTCCATGAACTCAAGAAGCAGCAGTGAGGATGAAGAAAAGAGGGCAGATATTTTGAGGGAGAATTTTAGAAAGTCAAAATAATGATTAATTGAATAGGAGAGTAAGAAAAGCTAATAATAATAATAATAATGAAAATCCCCAGCTTTCTGCACTGGGAAACTGGATAGATGTCTACTGGTATCTCAGCACAAGCAACAGTTTGCTGGGAGAGTCCAATGACCTGATCCTTTTGAAATTTCATGTGGCATGTGATACCACTGGTGTCTCAAATCTTTGTGATTACTCCCCTCAGGCTTCCATGATACTGCATTTGCTATGCTATTGTTATGCTTCTCTGGTTCCTTTCCCTCCTTCTGCTCCTAAATTAGAAATATCCTTCAGAATTCTCTCTACAAGATGTTCTTCTCTCTCAGTTTATTCGCTTGGATAGTTCATGCACCTCATGGCTTCAAGCATCACCTTTACACTATTCTGCTGCTGCTAATAGTAACATTGTCACTACTAATTAAAGACTATTTGCTTTATTCCTTAAAGTTAAGAAAATGATCTTCAAAGTGACTTTTAATAAAAAAGCATATTGGCCCTGAAAGAAGATAGATTTAAAGAATAAATTCCAGTTCTGCTACTTCTCAGCAATGTGACTTTGAAAAAGTAACTTACCCTCTAAGTGATTCTTCATCTATAAAATGTAAACATCAATAAATCAACAAACAACAAGTGCTGATGAGGATGTGCAGAAAAAGAAACCCTCATGCACTGTTAGTGGGAATGCAGACTGATGCAGCCACTGTGGAAAACAGTATGGAATTTCCTCACAGAATTAAAAATGGAACTGCCCTTTGACCCAGCAATCCCACTTCTGGGAACATATCAGAGGAAACTCGAAAGAATATATGCACCTCTATGTTCACAGTGGCATTATTTACAACAGCCAAGATCTGGAAACAGCCCAAGTGCCCATCAGTAGATGAGTGGATAAAAAAACTGTGGTACATTTACACAATGGAATATTACTCAGCCACAAAAAAGGAACTCTTACCATTTGAAACAGATAGCTAGACTTTGAGATTATTATGCTAAGTGAAATAAGCCAGTCATAGAAAGACAAATACCATATGATCTCACTTATATATGGCCAATGAACAAAATAAACTGACAAACAAAATAGAAAGAGAGGTATGGATACATAAATACATGGATATACATATATATACATATACATATATATATAGCACAAAGACATAGACAAAAGTGTGGTGATAGCCAGAGGGAAAGGGGGGTGGGGGCTAGGTGGAGGTGGGCAAAGGGGCAAAAATGGGGAAGAAAGAGACTTTGCTTGGGGCTATGGGTGCATGATGCAGTGTGCAGATGATGTTTTGTTGAGTTGTACTTGAAAACTGTATAATTTTGTGAATCAATATCATCCCAATTAAATTCAATAAAACATTAGAGCAACCATACAGGTTTGTTATATGATTAAGCAAAACAATGCATGAAAAGCACTTAGCACAGAATACGGCACTTAGTAATAAGCACTTCATACATACACAGCTAACTGTAGAAACAGGTAAGGCACATATCATAGCAAGCCACAGTCAAAGCAGCACTACATAACTGGTTAAAAGCAGTAGCTTTGGAAACACAGTCCTTTGTTCAAATCCTAGCTCTGCCACTTTCTAGCTGTGCGATTTTAGATCATATAAGCTACCTGAGCCTCAGATTGCTGATCTGTAAAATAGAGATAACACAGGACCTACCTTATAGGAATGCCTAATGTATTTTCCAGCACATAATAAATAATAAAATATCTACTAATTTTATTTTTCCCTTTTCCTGAGGGGAGAACCGGATTGATCTGAAAAGGTTATGTAGGTTGGAACTAAACAAAAGCAGAATTTAAGGTCAAGTCCTGACTTACAGAATGATGATAAATAACAAACCTTAAGTCAGTATAGCCTGAACTTCTCAGTTGTGCTCCAAGATCATAGTTTAGAAACACATTCCTTTGGTTTATGACATCATTTAAACTCAGTCTGTTTAAAGCCAATTTTATCTTGTTCTTTCCCATCCTGTTCTCCTGTACAAAAATATGTGCTTCTAATCTCCCCAGTCATTATGCGTGGACTAATTAATCTTTGGTTTTTCCTTTCCCAGCTCATGACAGTTTGGTGCTCATTCCTTTTTCATTTTTCCATCAAAATCTTTCTCTCAGTTGTGTTCT